ACAGACGGTCGATTGGACAGTTTTACAATGGACGAGGACTTTCTACTATAGACAGGAGGGGGCATGATTTACGCGACGTGAAGATACACATCAGAGGGAGTTTACAAATCAGAGGGAGTTTTCCTTAATATGTTTAAATTGACCAATCAACGAGTTTTTAATAACGAAAGTTAATTCACAAATACATCTTTACGAAATTAAATTAAGATTCATATAAACAAATTTAAAAAAGACTTATGACGGCCTAAAGGTTTTTTTTTTACTTAAAGATCATTATAGATCTAGTGTGTTCGTTTCAAGTACATTTACCGTGTATTAGATGCTATTAATCGCTTTTCATAACCCCGCCCACACTCAACACGAACCTGCGAAGTTACATATACACACGAAAGTAGGTCAATAGGTTAAAGGTCATGACTCACGTTCAAGACATGTTTCCCCAGGAAAATGTTTTGCCCCGCCAGCTTTTAGCGTGTAACGTATTATAAATACATGATGAGGTTGGTAAGTTTCTTATTCATCCCTTCATGAACTCCTTTTGACCTAAATTTTTATTTATAACATTTTTAACATTTACATTTTACCTAATTAATGTTCCAAAAAAAAGAGGTTTTAAAATAGCCAATTAAAAATATTTTAGAAAAGATATTTAAAAATGAATAAAATTAAATAAAAATAAATAAAACCGAACTAGCAACAACAATAAAGTAACAAATTGCATGTTTAGTTAACACGACGTATTCCACAAACTTATCCAGCATACTTTGTACAAAACTAAGGGTACAGCTAAGTTAACAACAAAAGACATTTTCCATAAATCCGACACACTCGTTTATTAATTAAAAACTTACCTTAATTATTTGACTAACCCTGCAGCCATACAGCAAATGTGCTAGAGAAAAAGATTCCTCTATCGCCTCAAAGGGAGTGAATCGTGAGGTCATCCGGAAACCAGCTTGGGTTTTCTCCCTTTTCTATTTAAAAAAGGTCTAAAAAACTTTATTCGCCACAGGCATGGGAGGGTGGGGGAGGGGTCAGAGAAAAAAAAAAATATCCGCAGCAGACGAGTAATGTACCTTACGTCTGCTTACTGTACTGTACAGCCAGTCTACGTGAGCTGAATCTAATTGCACGAACTAGTGTTTACAAAAATAAAATCTTAATATGTTGCCAAATACTAGGGCCATCATATCTACCCAGTCCGGTACCACTGCTATTTAATATCAACGCAATAAAAAATACAATAAAGATACTCTTAGAATAAAATAAACTATTATAAACTTAAAATTATCTTTTCCACGATATTCCTTTACACGCCATGTACACAGAGCTTATATGTGCAGGGATTAGCCTCCGATTCCATCCTCCCACCCCCACCCCCAAAATAAACATCTGAATTTTCATATATAACCATATAATATGTCTACTGTAAATACAACGCTATACGCAATTTTTACTTAACATAAGCCAGCACTAGGGTTATAGGCATACCAACTAGAGGTTCTTAGTGTGTTGTGCGTGTGTGTGTGTGTGGGGGGGGTGATGCATTTTCTTCGGTAATCAATAAACTGTTATCTGTATAAAGAGACTATAAAACAATATGTTAACAATACATTAGTCATTTCTTTTATGCAGAGGCGTAGCGACTCCTCCCTGCGCCCGGGGACAAACTTTCAATTTGGCGCCCCCTCCCCCATATATTTTTTATATTTATAATTCAAAATAGCAGCTAAAATGAGCTTATTTTGGCGCCACTAGGGTCTGCGCCCGGGGACATATGTACCCCCCCCCCACCCCCGTCGTGCGCCTATGCTTTTATGTAATTGCTCTAGTGTAAAATTCGTCAAAACTACACAACACCTCCCTATCATTGACTGAGTCTACCATTCCCACACACCTTCTCTACTTTGTTTTTGTGGCGACTGCACCCATTACCTCATGACTGAACATTAATTTAGCAGTAAAAACAACACCAGACCAAATCAATAAGAAAAAGATAACTGGTATGAGATCAGCGACAGGTCGTGATGGATTGGACTGTACTCATAAACGGGAGGTAATTTAATTACATCTGCAGGCGGTAATACAAGAGTGCCTGCCCTTGGTGATAGACGGTGTGATATTTAACAAGATTCATGTCAGTCAGGTGGTAAAAAACACATTTTAAAAATTTGTTTTGTTTTGTATTTAAAGTAATATTGGTAGGTAAGGATGTACACGGTAACTGCTTAGTGGAGAGAAGAGATAGGTGGGATGAAACAGTCATGGGGCATAACAAATAAAATCTATTTAGGGCCTAGATAAAACAGTTATGGGGCATAACAAGTAAAATTTACTTAGATAAAACAGTCATGGGACATAACAAATAAAATTTACTTTGATAAAACTGTCATTGGACATAACAAATAAAATCTACCTGGTATGCTTTTTACCTAGTTATTGATGTTTATGCCGAGGTTTCAAGCCGTGGTGATGGTTCTATCCAGAGACATAAATAGGTCGGATTTCACCCGATTCCCCCACTCCCCTCCTCTCAGTAATCATGTGACGAATCTGCTTGTGGCAACATTTATTACATCTGTTCACAAGGTTTGCTGACAACAATTTGCAATAGTTGCTTCTATTTTTCATAACGACAAAACTATATTTTCTGGCTTTTAATTGAAACTGTCCCGTAGCTATCTGGTCATAGGTTGAATAGTTTAAGCAGAGTTTGTCTGCTACTTCATATCTCGTCGATGTAGGCTTAGTTTGAGTAGAAATGTAGGCTTAGTTTGTTGTAGAACTGGTCTCTTTCATATATTCTCTTCCCAACCTCTCAAATCTTACCAGCCTTCCAGTGTTTCTTCCAGACTTTTTTCTCCGGGGGGGCACTTGAAATCTTCGGGGGGGCGGTAAACTTTCTTCGGGGGGGGGGGCGGACACTGTTAAAAGTATATATTTTCTATATACATTATATAAATTTCATTTCGTTCGGGGGGGGCGGTAAAAATTTTTCGGGGGGGGCCAAAGCCCCCCCCCCCCCCCCCCCGCAGAGATGCCTCGAAGAAACTCTGCAGCCTTCCTAACGCTATAAAGAGTATAGAAGAAGCTACATCAATGAAAAATAAACACTTATTTTCTAGACAGTAACTTAGAAAACTACAACAAACAATCACGTCACCAGGGTTTGGATTTTTAACTTTTATTTTACAAATTATATTTACACAAGTTTTTAAATAAATGTGTACACACATGTGTACATAGACGTAGTGACGTCTCAACAAAACATGTACAGGTGAGGTCAGACCGGAAGATGTAAGCTCTAATTAAATCAACTAATTAAATCAATTAAATAGGTCCAGGATTGTGAATTGAATCAAGCTGGATGTGACGTCATAAGGGCAGAACTCTTCAGTGAATTCGGGTTGGAAAAGATTTTATGGCTAGAATAACGTCCAGACGTCTAAACTTGACCGACGTGAACACTCAGACGACGTGTGGCAGACTATGAGAAGTCTAATGAAGCAGAAGACCAAAGCATCACTGGGATTTGTACCTAAAGTCCTTGGGGTGAAAAGTTGTACTCTAACCACCGACCACACGAAATGAAATGTACAATGTACGCTTCGTAGGAGGGTACAGCATATTATAGAAACAAAGAAGTGAACTCCCGAGTTTACAAAAAGTAGAATTTTAACTCACGAATAAAATATTTATCCAATTTGGCACAGAGATTTATCTACTTAAAAATAAAAAATAAAAACCAGATAATTTCTAGTTTGTCATCATATAATTATTTTCAAGGAATGTTTAAAATAATTCGCATCTAACTTTTTTATTTGAATTCCACTTGGAAGCAACCGTATTATTTAAAAACTTTTATTTTACATAAACTACAGATATTTAACATTATATGGTTAGTAGGCCTATACAAGACAAATGGTATAAATAAAAAATGTAATGTAATCAGATCTGCATAATTACTAATTAATTATGACTTACCGGAAGGCACTAGTGCTAAATAAGACATGGTGGTTTTATTTTGAAAATAGTTGAACGATAAAACTTAACTATAGTTTAGTTTACTTTGAAAATGGTTGAACCATAAAACTTAACTATAGTCTAGTTTACTTTGAAAATGGTTGAACCATAAACTAACTATAGTCTAGTTTACTTTGAAAATGGTTGAACCATAAACTAACTATAGTCTAACGCTAAGATTTCAAGCGTTGAATGGCCGGTTCTCATGATACGAACAATGGGGTACGGCTAATCTACAAAACACAACTGTGTTGGCTGTAGAATAAAACTGGAGATACTTAATTAATTTTATGACTTACTGATGTGAGTTTAACTTTATATACCTTACAGTTTAACTTTAATGACATACTGATGATATTTTATAGTGAATTTAAATTTAATGATGTACTGATGATATTTTACAGTGAGTTTAACTAGTGAAATTCTGATTACATTTTAGAGTTGAGCTTTAGTGATGTTTCAATGACATTTTACTGACTTTTTGCTGACTCCGTTAGATCAATATCAGTCACTCCACCCTCAACCTCGCCCTCCAATAAATACAACAGTAAATTGCAATACAAATGTAATACCAATTTTTCTTAACAAGACAAGGAAGAAATAAAAGTTCAAATTTACATATGCATATAAAAGTAACTACTGATTATTTTAAATGAATGACAATGGTAAGGTTAGGTGTAGTTAGGTACCAGCTTAACATCAACTAGTATATTATGGGCTCTACAGTTGTTTAAAATAAAGGTTTAGTTTAAATATTTGAAAACTTTCAAACGTTTAGTTAACTAAGTGAGCTTAAAATAATTAATTCAATGACACCGTGAGACCAGATGAAGCCTGTAACATTACTCTAGGGTTACTTGGTCTAGGGACTCAGGAGCCAGGAGTAAGCGGCCCTGGATGTACCTTAACTTTTATATGATCAATGCTATGAATATAGAAGGCTAAACGTTACGCTACAGATGCTGGTAAGTCCGGTGCTATGTTTTACATACACCGTTTGCTTCAGCCTCGGTTTGAGCTATAACGGCTGAAGACTTGACCAGTCTCCTGTAGTAGACAAAGCAGACAGCAAGACCTACACAGAACACCAACAGCAGACACACACAGACGATTAGAACCAGCCGAACAGTATCGGAACCTGCTGGTGAGGGGGGAGGCGAGGCTAGCAGGGGAATGAAGCTGTTCCAAAATTTGTGGAACTGCGCACGTAGGTGGTTTCCCTTGGTTATGGTGGCGTCTGTCCCGTTGTTGTCGATGATGAAATAACTTTCGTCGGGAGAAAAAGGCTGGACTTGTGAAGTAGTTTTATTTTTGGATGGCCATCTGAGAAATAGTAGATATTTCTATGTAGGCCTATATATGCATGCACATAAATATTATATATATATATATATATATATATATATATATATATATATATATATATATATATATATATATATATATTTGTATATTCTGTTTAGTCGGGCACATAGGCACTAACTGGATCACAAACGCCAATATATCTATAGCCACAAGCTCTAACAACCATATCTGCCACTACGATAAGCCGCTATCTCTACCACTATCTCAACCACTCTCTACCACTATCTGCCACTATCTCTGCCACTGTCCGAGTCCACTCACCCAGTATGAACGAAACTGGACCACGTCTCTATAAGCTTCAGGCTGACCTTCCTGTCCAGGTGTGTGTAGCTCCTGACAGGGTGACCATCAAGTGGACAGCCGAACAGGTAAAACAGATCATCGCCGTGTGGGACACCTGTGTGAGAACGATGTTTTCAGGTAAGGGTTGGGACGTCAGACACGTAAAAAAAAAACTGAAAAAAAAGCAACCCACAACAAAAAGCGTGATCTTTTCGAACTACCACCCCAATTTGTAACAGTTTCACGAAAGTACTGAGAGTATAAAAAAAATAAAAATACCATCGTTCCCTACTCTGTCGCCCCCACCCCACCACAGTACAATGAAATCAACATAAATTTAGACCCGAACAATTTATTGACATTTATTACCATTTCTGCTACAGAAATGGTTGACTAGACACATAATTCCTGCAAGTATTCGGGAAATCTATGTCAAAATTTACATTCAAATGCAATGATCGATCAAGAAAGTATTTAACAGCCAAAACATCTTGACTGATAAAATATTGTTGTTTTCTGGTCGATTTCAGAAAGAATTCAAATAAAAGTCACATGGTGTATTTAATACATGCAGGATGACTAGGATGGCTTTGTGATCTGGCTATTGGTGAGACGAAATGGTCAAAAAAAATTATTAGCAATTTAGTAAGTAAATATATTAAAATTGAGGTTGTTAACGACAAATTGCTTAAAAAATATAAAAAAAAAAAAAAAACTCAAGCATTTCAAGTAATGCGGAAGTTTAGAACATTTTACGCGAATTAGGGTCGTGTTTAAAAAGACGGACAAATATATCTATACGTCAATCAAATGGAGAAATATAGTTAAATCGTTTATTTTTGTTTTGCTGGGAAGTGACAGTTCTTTATCTGGCCAACTCACCAATCCACTGAGGGTGTATGGACAAAGTTGACCTGTGCTCAAACCGGTACAGGAACAAATCCAACTGGGGCACCTCTCGCAGCATATCAGCGAACTGGAGGGTGGCGGAGTTGAAGACTATGTCACCACAAAACTTTAGGAAAAAGAGGATACGAACCCGTGAAACAGCAGGGTTAGTGGTTATGTGGTTCATTTACTGCTCAAGGAATGTAGACTTAGTGTGGGTGGTTAATATATATATATATATATATATATATATATATATATATATATATATATATATATATATATATATATATATATATATATATATATATATATATATATATATATATATATATATATATATATATATATATATATATATATATATATATATATATATATATATATATATTTGTGTGCGTATGTGGGTGTGTGTATGTTTGTGTGAGTGTTGTGTGTGAATGTGTGAGTGTGTGTGAGTGTGTCTGAATATAGACAGTTTGAACACAAGACCTGATTAAAAGTCTAAAGGCAAGTAATAAAGAAAGTGTACTCTACCATGATTTAACGTACTTCAGATAAGGCCAGTGCTTTGGCTGTGATGTTGTCTGGATCTGACCATGGTTTGTATAAAAGTTGGATCAAATCTGAAACAAGAAAACAGAATACGGTTTGTATAAAAGTTGGATCAAATCTGAAACAAGAAAACAGAATACGGTTTGTATAAAAGTTGGATCAAATCTGAAACAAGAAAACAGAATACGGGTTTGTATAAAAGTTGGATTAAATCTGAAACAAGAAAACAGAAGACTGGTTTTTATAAAAGTTGGATTAAATCCGAAACAAGAAAACAGAACACGGGTTTAAAAAAAAAAAGTTGCATTGAGTCTATAACAGAAATAGAAGACAGGTCTTTCAAAAAACGTTTAAGTCTACAAGTAACAGAATTTGACCAAAATAAAATCTTCTTACTGTGACTCTTTTAGGAGTTTTAAGTAAGAATCGTGTGAAAAACACATCTTTCGAAATAATAATATAAAAAACAACTAACTAACAAATAGTTCAGAATTTTGAATTTTTTTTAGCTTTCAATTAAAGGTAAAACAATAAGGTGTCATCCATAAATGACGTCACGCTTTTTTGACGATTTTTACCTACCCCCTCCCCTCCTTCACACGTCGTCACAAAAAGCCAGAAATTGCAGTTAAATTCTTTTTTAATCATCGATATTTTTTCCAAAATCTTGTCTGAACTCTATCAAAATAGAGTATTTTAATCAATTCCTATTACAATTTATTAAAACAGTTTTCTAAAACGCAAAATAACGTCTTAAATTCGTTTTCTAACATTGCTTTTTGATAATGCAATAGTGTGACGTCGCACCATCTGAACCCCCCCTCCCCTCCCCCTCATCACACACCGTCACAAAATTACGGAACCCTCTCCCCTACGAATATGACGTCATTTATGGACGACCCCTAATCAAACTACAATCATAGAGGTATATTCACTTTTTAACAATTTCTTAAAGACCTTCAGATTCATTAACTAAATGTGTCTGACGTAAACAAGCGCCTACCTGCCGCAAACGTGTGGAACTGCAGCCTGGGGTAGAAGTCTACGATCATCTTCAGCACTTCATCGTACGGTATGTCCAGCGGCTGGGCGGGTCTGGCATCGTCCGTGTCGTTGACGGTTGGGTGTTCAGATCTCATGATGACCTCGGCTGGGGGAGAGAGGAACCGGGCGGAGTTACATGCTGGGGATACTCATCAACGCCCCCCCCCCCCCACATATTACAGGTCAGCGACACCCTTACTCCCCCACACCAGTCTGCGACCCCTTACACCCAAATATTACAGGTCAACGACCCCTTACACCCCCACATTACAGGTCAGCGACCCCTTACGCCCCCACATTAAAGGTCAGCGACCCCTTACACCCCCACATTACCAGTCTGCGACCCCTTACACCCCACATTACAGGTCAGCGACCCCTTACGCCCCCACATTAAAGGTCAGCGACCCCTTACACCCCCACATTACCAGTCTGCGACCCCTTACACCCCACATTACAGGTCAGCGACCCCTTACACCCCCACATTACAGGTCAGAGACCCCTTACACCCCCACATTACCAGTCTGCGACCCCTTACACCCCACATTACAGGTCAGCGACCCCTTACACCCCCACATTACAGGTCAGAGACCCCTTACACCCAAACATTACAGGTCAGCGACCCCTTACACCCCCCCACATTACCAGTCAGTGACCCCTTATACCCCACATTACCAGTCAGCGACCCCTTACACCCCCACATTACCAGTCAGTGACCCCTCGTCTTTGACCAGCCCCATCATCACAGCTTCAGCCTTGACCTTGTCCTGCAGGTTTGACCCCACTGGGTTGGACACAATCATGACCCCGTCTATGACGGGTGTGAAATGGTGGTAGCCTTGTGTGTACTGAAATAACATGGGATATCTTAGGAGTCATACACTGTATGGGAGTATTCAGAGTAGTGATACATAGTATGGTAGTATTTATAGTAGTGATACATACTTTAGTAACATTGATATAATTAACATCGCTGATATAAAAACATGACAGCATGCATTTTTACTTTCTCGTATACGAAGTATGTATACGAAATATAGAGGACGTTAGTATTGTAATCGTGCAAAAAAAAAAATCGAGGTTTTTGCAATATAGGCTCACATTGTAGCAAGTATAGAAGGATAGACTTACATAGTAGCAAGTATAGACTTTGAATGTATCAAGTATAGGCTTACATTGTAGCAAGTATAGACTTACATTGTATCAAGTATAGACTTACATTGTAGCAAGTATAGGCTTACATTGTAGCAAGTATAGACTTTTATTGTAGCAAGTATAGACTTACATTGTAGCAAGTACAGACTTACATTGTAGCAAGTATAGAATTACATTGTAGCAAGTATAGACTTTTATTGTAGCAAGTATAGACTTACATTGTAGCAAGTATAGAATTACATTGTGGCAAGTATAGACTTTTATTGTAGCAAGTATAGACTTACATTGTAGCAAGTATAGGCTTACATTGTAGCAAGTATAGACTTACAATGTATCAAGTATAGGCTTACATTGTAGCAAGTATAGACTTACATTGTAGCAAGTATAGACTTACATTGTATCGTGTTTCTGCCAATGTTCTGGCGTCCACTTCACGAAGACACCTGAGCGTCCTATGCCCGTCCACCCTGTCTTGGCACCCTAAGGCCACCAGGTGACTCCTGGGTCCACTGTAAGCGTCGGTCTCCTCCCTCCTAGACATGAGCGCCCAGTCGACCGTAGGGGACCCACTCTGTAGGATGGCACGTTGGAAGTACACTGTGGATAGGTACACATTTCAAAACTTTAGGCGGCACGGAATCAACAGGAATTTGGGCGGCATGGAATAAAAAGGAATACTAATCATTAAAAAAGTTTTTAAAAACCCACGTTTTCTGATTGAACTAAAAAGTAGAAAATAAATGCTATACATCACAATAATGCAAGCGATCACTCTACTATAAGCGATGAAAAACGTGGGGCGCCGAAGTAAAAGTTATATTACTATTGATTAGATAATACTATTGACTTTTATTAGGGAGCTTGTAGAGAGTCAACAGTATTAGAAACTGTAAGAAAATCACGGCGCCCCACGTTTTTGATCGCTTATAGTAGAGTGATCGCTTGCATTATTGTGATGTATAGCATTTATTTTCTACTTTTTAGTTCAATCAGAAAACGTGGGTTTTTAAAAACTTTTTTAATGATTATTATTTTCTACTTTTTAGTCTTTGTTTGTTTGCATTAAAATCTTGCTATCGATTTTATCTTTTCACTTTTTTTGGGTAAACGAAGACAACTCGTAAAAAGACAACTCTTAAAAAGACAACTCGTAAAAAACACGTTGTGTTAACACATAGATTTGAACCCGTGTCGAGTGGGATAGCAATCGTGTGCCCAACCACTCGACCATATCGTCTCCCCCAAACTGGCCTACCTCCTGTAAGTTTAAACTCGGTTCAAACTAAATTATCTGCCACTAAGCCTGTGGCGATGTGGGATCGTTCGCTTCACTGCGCTCGAGGTACGCGTCGCTCGTTTTTTTTTCTAATGGCTCGCAGAGGAGAATTATATATATAGATTATATAGCGGTCTAAAATGCTCAATAAAATGTTTCCATTGATCAATTTAGTAATAATAACAATTGAATATTCAATGGTCATCCAAAAGAAAGCTTCCCTGAAAATTTCAGCGCGCTAGCTAACTGGGAAGTGCCAGAAATTTCGATCGCAAGATTTGATTGGAAAGACAAACACAGAAACACAGACACAGAGAAAGCAAGTTAAAGATAATAATCATTAAAAAAGTTTTAAAAAACCCACGTTTTCTGATTGAACTAATAAGTAGAAAATAAATACTATACATCACAATAATGCAAGCGATCACTCTACTATAAGCGATGAAAAACGTGGGGCGCCGAAGTAAAAGTTATATTACTATTGATTAGATAATACTATTGACTTTTATTAGGGAGCTTGTAGAGAGTCAACAGTATTAGAAACTGTAAGAAAAACACGGCGCCCCACGTTTTTGATCGCTTATAGTAGAGTGATCGCTTGCATTATTGTGATGTATAGTATTTATTTTCTACTTATTAGTTCAATCAGAAAACGTGGGTTTTTTAAAACTTTTTTAATGATTATTATTTTCTACTTTTTAGTCTTTGTCTGTTTGCATTAAAATCTTGCTATCGATTTTATCTTTTCACTTTTTTTTGGGTAAACGAAGACAACTCGTAAAAAGACAACTCGTAAAAAGACAACTCGAAAAAAAATCGTTGTGTGAATACGTTACTGACTAGAACACATAGATTTGAACCCGTGTCGAGTGAAATAGCAATCGTGTGCCCAACCACTCGACCATATCGTCTCCCCTAAACTGGCCTACATCCTGTAACTTTAAACTCGGTTCAAAGTAAATTATTTGCCCCTAAGCCTGTGGCAACGTGGGATCGTTCGCTTCACTGCGCGCGAGGTACGCGTCGCTGGTTTTTTTTCTAATGGCTCGCAGAGGAGAATTATATATAGATTATATAGCGGTCTAAAATGCTCAATAAAATGTTTCCATTGATCAATTTAGTAATAATAACAATTGCATATTCTATGGTCATCCAAAAGAAAGCTTCCCTGAAAATTTCAGCGCGCTAGCTAACTGGGAAGTGCCAGAAATTTCGATCGCAAGATTTGATTGGAAAGACAAACAAACACAGAAAGACACAGAGAAAGCAAGTTAAAGAAAACGTGGGAAAAACGTGGGAAAATAGGCGTCATGGATTTAAAAAGAAACTGGGCATCATGGATTTAAATAGAAATTGGGGGTCATGGATTTAAAAAGAAATTGGGCGTCACGGATTCAAAATCAATTTTGAAATCATGACTTCAAAAGGAATTAGTAGGTCAAGCAATTAAAAATGAATTTGGATGGCACGGAATAAAAATGTATTTTGGCGTCACAGAATCAACAACAATTTCGGCGTCTTGAAATGAAAATGGATTGGGGCGTCATAAAAAAAACCACCGGAATTCGGACGTCAAGGAAATAAAATGGGAATCACGGGAAGAAATGGGTTTAAAAATTGTCATAAAATCTCTAAGAAAAGGTGATTGGATTTACAAAATTAATAATGTTTTTTTTAAAGAATAATTGAAATTGGATACATCTAATGATTGTATGATTGTTTAACTGTCAGTTTCGGCATCTTATGATTGTATGACTGTATTTTTTGAATACTCACCCTGAGAGAGGGGAGATAACAAATGGAGACCAACGTCAGTACTTCCGGCACTGTGACCTTGTAAGGTGACCTTCCCAGGGTCACCGCCAAAGTTGGCGATGTTCTCGCTGACCCAGCGTAGTGCTTGCAACTGATCAAAGATGCCGAAATTCCCAGCTATGTCAAGGTCAGGTATACTCAAGAAGCCTGGGGGTCACCGATTAACAAACGATTTGTATCTTTTATTAAAAGCATTAGTAATGGAGTGTAAACACTATTACATAAAGTAAAAAAAATAGCGCATTTACAAAAAAATATATCATTCGTGTCGTTGCTGTTCTAACTTTAATTACGTAATAATCTCATTAGAAATTGTAAAGAATTTAATGGTTTTGGTTTTTTGAGCTTACTGTATGATGTCAATGGAACGGAGTGGTCTAGCGGTAGAGAGCTGGACTGCTAACCCGTAAGTCTCGAGGTTCGAATCCGGGTTCACGTCAGTAGAACGTCCCCGAGTCCACCCAACTCTGATGGGTACCTAACTCACGTTAGGGAAAGTAAAGGCGGCTGGTCATAGTGCTGACCACACTATCTCTTCATATGCCGAGGTCACAGAAACAGGTGAACTCTACTTCACTTGCCCCATAGACAGTCAGGTTTGAAAGGGAAACTTTACTTATATGATGTCATCCCGGATACAATTTGCATGATTGGTCAAAATAGCTGGAAGTGGTGCCTGTATTATGGCTGCTTGACTCAAAATTTCAGAGAGTTACACCTGTATTTTGGCTGCTAGAATTTTTACACTGACGGGAAGTGACACCTGAATGTGACAACGACCATGTACCCTGAACTCACCTAGAGCTGCTAGCCTGTAGTTTGACAACGACCATGTACCCTGAACTCACCTAAAGCCACTAGCCTGTAGTTTGACAACGACCATGTACCCTGAACTCACCTAAAGCTGCTAGCCTGTAGTTTGACAACGACCATGTACCCTGAACTTACCTAAAGCCGCTAGCCTGTAGTTCAGGGGTCTCCAAACTTTTCAGCCCGAGGGCCGCATTGACTATCAAATATCGGTTCGGGGGCCAGAGTTATTTGAAGGCACCTCTTCGGGGTGACGGAGGCTTTTAGGTGGGTGTATAGATCAGAAATTAGATTTCCCTCTCTTCTAGTTTTAGGTTCAGAAAATTTAATGACTAGTTATGTCAGCAGCAGAGGCCAATTTCTATACCCACTCTTCATCAGACATTAATGGCTGTAGCTTGCCTTTACTTTCCAGGAAGTTACCTATTTCCTTTCTTAACTTAAATACTCTGCTAAGAGTTATATCACAACTTAGCCATCTTACTACTCTGTGTTATGGTAAATCTTACGATTCCTTGTCTGTATCTCTCAACGTATCATTGAATAATTATTGTCTATGGTTGAGCCCATGTAACCTCATGAAATTCTCCATCTTCAAATTTTCCGTGGACAAAAAGATCTCCGCGGGCCGGATGAGAGGACCTCGCGGGCCGCATCCGGCCCGCGGGCCGTAGTTTGGAGACCCCTGCTGTAGTTAAATGTGACAACGATCATGTACCCTGAACTCACCTAGAGCCGCCAGCCTGTAGTTGAATGTAACAACGATCATCTCCCCTTCGCTCGCCAGTACGTCACCGTGAAACATGGCGCCCATCCCCGCCATATTGGAGCCACCGTGGACATGCACCAACACAGGAAACAGACCCTTCTAGAAAATTGAATGTGCCGTATTTACATTTTTATAGCTTTGAACATCTTTCCAACAAAGACAAACTAAAAGAACAGCGGACAGATAACATAGAAACACAAGACAACAAAAATCACCGACTTAATTATAAAAAATTGGACTGTAAATTCGAAGCGTTTATCTTTCTGCCGTATTTCTTTAAAATGGCATTTTGACACACAAAAAAACAACTAATTAGTAAACTGTAGGCGAACGTGTAAATTCAAGAGAATTACTTTTTTGTTTAATGACCAGCAAACAAATAAAATATGGGAAGGCGTGGCGTAGTGGTAGAGCGCTTGGTTGCTAACCCGAAAGTCTCGAATCCAGGTTTAAGTCCTTAGAACGTCCCTGAGTCCACCCAGTTCTGATGAGTACCCAACTCAAGTTGGGGAAAGTTAAAGGCAACTGGGCATAGTGCTGACCACACAATACCTTTATACCGAGGTCAAGAAACGTATGAACTGTACTTCATCTGTCCAATGGATCGCTAGGTCTAAAGAGGAATCTTTAAGCAAATAAAAGAGACTCACTTTTCATATACTTATCAAAATAGAATTACTTTGGACAGTTTGACCGGCACGTAAATAAAAGCGACTTACTTTGGCGAGTTTGACCGACTTACTTTGGCCAGTTAGACTGACTTACTGTGGACAGTTTGACCGACTTACTGTGGACAGTTTGACCGACTTACTTTTGCCAGTTAGACTGACTTACTTTGGCCAGTTAGACCGACTTACTTTGGACAGTTAGACCGACTTACTTTGGACAGTTTGACCAACTTACTTTGGACAGTTTGACCGACTTACTTTGGCCAGTTAGACCGAGTTACTTTGGACAGTTTGACCGACTTACTTTGGACAGTTTGACCGACTTACTTTGGACAGTTTGACCGACTTATTTTGGACAGTATGACCGACTTACTTTGGACAGTTTGACCGACTTACTTTGGACAGTTTGACCGACTTACTTTGGACAGAATGAACGACTTACTTTGGACAGTTTGACCGACTTACTTTGGACAGTTTGACCGACTTACTTTGGACCATTTGACCGACTTACTTTGAACAGTTTGACCTACTTACTTTGGACAGTAAGACCGACTTACTTGGGACAGTTTGACCGACTTACTTTGGACAGTTTGACCGACTTACTTTGGACAGTTTGACCAACTTACTTTGGACAGAATGACCGGCACGTAAATGTTGAGGTAGAGACAGTCTTCGTCCATGCTCCCGTCATAGAAAGGGGCGTGTTCCCGGATGTACTTGAAGTCTTCCCGTGACTGGACGCATGCTGAGGGCAGCGACGTGGTGGTGATGGTGCCGTGCCAGTGGGACGGTGGGGTGGGGTTCTGGAACATACAGGTGGACATCGTTAGCAGTTATTTCACAGGACTGGTAGAAAGATGGACACCATTGGTACTTAAAACACAGGATTCGTATTAAACTGGACATTAGGTCACCACTTACAACATCGGAATGGTCTACAGTTGGACATTCAGTTAACACTTGCAACGTAGGATCAGTGTTCCCTCTAAGCTGCGCGTTTGCGCGGCCGCGCAATAGTTTTGCGCTGCCGCGCAGGGATTTTGTAAAATAAATATACTCTTGTATAAGATTTTTAGAACATAGTGCACAGAAAATACATTTTGCACAGTAGTTTTCCCCCCTTAGAGGGAAAATGCATAGGATTGGTTCTTATTCTTACATAACATTTTAACTAGAGTCTTATGTGCAGAGTTCATTTCCATGTTGTTTTTTTTTGTTTTGTTTTGGCCATTGGATTTATGTCCGAGTTGAGTGGGTAGGGATATTGTCCGGGGGAGGGGGTGGGGGGTGGGGGTGGGGTGGAGTTGGGGGATGTGTTGACACCCAACTAACTAGAGTTGGAACCCTGGAGATCTGTACTTCCAGTCTGCAAGTTAAATAATACAGCAGCCATTTTGGCTTCAACTTCAAACTAACACTGGCAACACGCCTCTAAAGTTTGTAGCGTGTGTACACATCCACTCTACTTCACCTGCTCTACTGAACACTGGCCACACACTCGCCTCTAAAGTTTATAGTGTGTGTACATATTCACTCTACTGCACCTGCCACACTGACCATCACGTCGGCATATATTTCAACTATACAAAGTTATACAGTAGAAGAGTCCCTCGAGTACATACGAGTAAAAAACAACATACACGATGAAGCTTTAATGAATTTCTGAAGCCCATTTGCCCACCCAGTGGAGAGGGTGATGGCAGTATAAAATGTCTAGAACTTAACGTTGATTTGATGTAGGACTAAGGACCCCAGGGTAATTCTAGTTACGTTGGTGCTTCGTATTATTTAAATACAAAGATGGTATTAGGGAATTGTGCGGGTCAAAGAATTGGAATTTCATACTGGGTTGTGTATGAAATAACCTTATAGGCGGATCTAGGGGTGGCTAGAGGCTTGCTTCCCCCTTCGCCCCTACCGCAAAAATTAAAAAAAAATTTAATAAATAAATAAAAATAATTCAAAAGTTGAAAACAATTTAAGAGAAAATGTAGGCTTTGAAAAGTTTACTAATCATTTGCTAAATTTCAATTATTTTTTTATAATTTATGTTAAACGTTTAACTTTTTATTTAATCTTAACGTTTAGCCTGCTTGTTAGTTATAGGGACTTGCTTCGGCCCGTTGCTCCAAATTCATAAAATTATGCATACATAGTATATATCTAGCCCTCCTCCCCCCCCCTAAAGTCCGCCTCTGTATAACCTTCACATTAACACAATTGAGGGGAAAATGTCAATATTTATTTCTCCTCATATCTCGCGTGACTGAATTTGTTTCCCCACGTCCGGCACGCCCTCGTCTATCGCGAGATCTCACGAGATCTCACGAGAACCCACGTGACCGCAGACGACAGCAGCGTTCTCCCGCCGTAACTGACCTTGTTTCAGCGGCCACCTCGGGTGGTTTTATTTATTATGTCGTCTGCTTGACGCCACTATCACCGCGGTGTAGCCGTGTTCCTGTCTTGATAGAGTTACTCCGTGGAAATGGAATCAAATATGGGTTATCTTTTCTTTTTTTTTAGTTTTGGCCCTAATCCAAAAACTTGTGTTGTCTCGTTTTCTTTAATATGTGTATTTAACAGTCAGGATGTACTAGAGGGGCTAGAGCCCCCCGCCCCGCCCCCACCCTGATGTAACATAAACATGATAGTATTTTCAAAGCAATATAATCTATAATCGACGGTGGAGCTGCGTGGTCGGGTGGAAGAGCACTTGACTGCTAACCCGTAAATCTCGAGTTCGGATCCTATTGCGGTACCGAGACTGTATGACGTCCCTAAGTCCACCCAGCTCTGAAAGTAAAAAGATGGCAAATTTCAAGACTGCGCTATGGATAGTTAAGTCTGAAAAGGGACCTTTACTTCTATAGACAATGTCGTCCTCGAGTCATCTTAACGCAACCCGTTTATAACTGGGAATGTCACAAACCCGCAACATACGATCTTAAAATATATACGTAGATTTTCGATCGGACTTTACTCTTTTCAATCTAGGTCTCAACATGTGAGTTTACGCAGCAGTACACGAATGTGTTTCCTAATGAACAACTAAACAAGCAAACGTTTATCGAAGCCACATCATCGGATGTTTGCCCAAATTATTACATCATCAGATGTTTGCCCAAATTATTACATCATGGGATGTTTGCCCAAATTATTACATCATCAGATGTTTGCCCAAATTATTACATCATGGGATGTTTGCCCAAATTATTACATCATCAGATGTTTGCCCAAATTATTACATCATGGGATGTTTGCCCAATGTATTACATCATCAGATGTTTGCCCAAGTTATTACATTATCGGATGTTTGCCCAAATTATTACATCATGGGATGCTTCCTTAAATTATTACATCATCCGACGTTTTGCCCTAGTTACGTTGCCACATAAAAATGATAACCGCAGTGTAACATGAAACTTCCACCTGTTTTAGCGAGGCGAGAAAAACAAGATCTTTGTTTACCAACAGCTGTTGTATGTGTCTGAGACTTGCAGTAGGGAGGGGGAGGGGCGTGGTTCATACAGACTACATCTAACTAGAATATATCTGTTTCATACAATATCAAACCGGTTGTGAAAGATCTGGTTTCTACACAATATCAAACTGGATGAGATATATCTGGCTTATACAAGCTATATAAAATTGGCTATGGGACGACGTGGCCTAGCGGTAGAGAGCTACTGCTGAACCGAAAATCTAGTGTTCGAATCTGGGTTCAAGTCAGTAGAAAGTCCCCGAGTCCACTCAGCTCTGATGGGTACCTAACTCACGTTAGAGAAACAAAGGCAACTATGAATAGTGATGACCACATTATCCCGAGATAATCTGAAGCAGATGAGCTCTACTTCATCTGCCCCAGGATGCGATGATCAAACTGGTCGGACTATGTCAGTTTCATATAGGCTATATCAAAACGGTTAAGATAGACCTAGCTCATTGGGCGACACAGAAAGAAAGTGCTCAGGTTGTATATTTTAGCGATGAGTTTTGTATGTATTGGCACAACAGAGTCCAACTTCTCTGTAAAAACTTCGTTGAGCCAGAGAAAAATAACGGAAATTCAAATTACAAAGCAACAAATGTTAAAACTCAACTAAGATTAACACAAAGCATAGAAGTGGTGTTCTTAAATTCTTAATTAACAAATGTTTTTTTGTGTAATGAAATGCTTAAATAGGTAAACAGTACCTTAAAACGGAGTTCCTTCAAAGGCGGGGCCGCATACGGGACTCCAAGATATCTCTCAACCTCTTTTCCGTTAGGGCGGACATGAATGTATCCCCGAATCCGACCGTACACCGTCTTTCTCACAGGGTTTAGATCCCGCTTATCCTGACAGTCTATCACAACGACAAACCACAACACCAGCAAGATGCCCCGCTGTCTTGTCGCCATGTCGCTAACCAGATCTGAAATAAATTGACAGCCTTTAATAAAGGACAAACAGTAGTTCAAAGATATAATTCATGACACTATCTTAAACGTAGAAAGTTAATTTTGTAGTTCAAAGATATAATTCATGACACTATCTTAAACGTAGAAAGTTAATTTTGTAGTTCAAAGATATAATTCATGACACTATCTTAAACGTAGAAAGTTAATTTTGTAGTTCAAAGATATAATTCATGACACTATCACGTAGAAAGTTAATTTTTTAGTTCAAAGATATAATTCATGACACTATCTAAAACATAGAAAGTTAATTTTGTAGTTCAAACATAATTACATGACAGTATCTTAAACGTAGAAAGCTATTTTGTAGTGAAAAGCTCTTTAAAGCTTTTAGGACGTAGATTATCATTGAATTAGAAAAATGCACAAAATGCTGGCTCGCAACGAATTAAATAGAGTCTAGCTGTTGCCTGTACATCAACATTTTTTAGAATTACGTGACGATTTGAATCACAATCTGGTGTGTCCTTGAAGGTGATCTAGCACTGATGCAAAAACGATTCTATTCTACTTTAAAGTCACGTAACAATTTTTGACAGTAGGTGTGACGCTGTATGGTCTTAAAACAGTGGTCAAGATTACGTTTATGATGAGGACTGTTGTTAGAACTAGGATTGGTGCTGTTGTTAGGGTAGACATAACTGCAAAAAATAAATAAAAAATTTCGTTTCGACTCACCTACCAGTTTTAAAAAATGTGTCGTGTCAGTGTCTTTGTAGGGGCATCAGTTAGACTTATTGGATATACTCGCCCACGTCGTGGTAATTAGTTCAATCAGGTAGACGACGTCACGTGATGACCTTGTTTGGGGCGAATGTGGGCGGGATGTTTTAATGTGTGTCTGTGTGTGTGTGTGAGAGGGGTAAGGGGGTATATTTCTGTCCACTGACCCCCACACCACTGTTTTTAGCCCTACACCCCGCTCTACAAAGCGGACAAACAACTTTAGTGTGGGGTAAATAATGGTAGACGTTTGACGTGGATTAAGTTTTGACGCTGATGCATGAATAATGTCACAATAAGCGTCAGACATTACTTGGTCGAGGCGAAGAGCTAATACAGAGGACCAGAGATTGGGGATCTGAACCACCCACACTAATCTATAGATTATCCACAGTTGAACTCTTTACATTAAGTAACATAAAGATTTGTGTCGAGTTTAATTTGAAGTCAATGCTTCTTTTTTTTTTTTTTAGTTGGGCACTTGGTACATACAAGCAACGAACACCTAGGACCGGATGATGAACGGGCAGTTTGAGAAGCCTTGATACGTCACCGTGGCTACAACATAACATCGGCTGTGGGATGACGACAACACCAAGCCAGTTTTCCTAAATTAAACCAGGTACTCCCTGTTGCTGAG